ATATTAGGGTGACATTTACTCATTGACTGTCTTAATAAGAAGTCCACCGAGCCCAGGAAGGTGACACAAGTGTCTGAGACTTAATCCTAGCCTTGAATGCATACAAAACCTGTTCCCCATTCCATCAGTGCTATTTCCTCACATGCACATACAGCACGAGCATAAGCTGATGCTTGTTCTTAAAGAAAAGAGACACACACGGGAAAAAGTACCCCAGGCTGGGGATTGCCACTGTTGAGCTTTTCCCTTGCCAGTGAGGCTTGGCCCAATATCCTGCTCTCCTGCTGGCTACCCACCTCACCCCACAACTCCCCTCAGACACACTCACTGGCCTCATGTATGCAACTTCAAGCCATGCAGCCCCTTTTCTTTCTGCTACTCTTCTTCTACATCACTTTTTCCTCAAAGTGTAATTTTTAAGTATAGCAGCAGTAGAACACAAATCTTTAAAAAAACACAATATTGTCCTATGGTAAAATTATGAAAAAAGTCACAATCTAACTTGACTTTGTCTTTACTTCTTCATATCTGGTACTACATTAAGATTTTGGCGAAATCCCACTTATGAACTCACTATTCTGCCTCCTACACAAATACAAACTTTGAATCCTATCTTCCATTACCCTCCCCACAATTTTAAATGCCTCGTTGTTAAAATAAACAAACAAATAAGTTACTGATTATTCCAAGACAAATAGCCCATCTGTTTATTACAGTCAATGTAAAGGGTTAAAGAATATATAGCTTTATCTAATGTCTCAAACCACAACATTAATCTCCTAAACACATGACTTGTAAGCACAAAGAAAGAAGCAGAGGGTATAAAGTATGCACCTAAAGCAGCATGGTATCTTCTAATTTTGCTATGCAGAAAATAATGTATTCTTTTTAGAAGTTATACACCATCAACTTATACAGCAAGTGCTAAAAGAACACAATAAACAATCACATTATATACATCATCTGCATCAAAAGTGCTGAATGTATGACAATACTATAATACCAGCTCTTACCCACCACAAAATCTCTTAGGCACAGCCTTACCATCAACTAATTCACAAGGCTTACTTTAATGAAAAATGTATCTGAGAACATAATTTGTCTCTTAAACCAAGGATATAATTTAGCCCTTAAATATACAACTGAGAAAGATATCATTAGGCTCAGCACTTATATTTCCTTCATGCTCCTACACTACTAATCTAAACTGTCCCAGAACTAGGCATGGGCATTACTGCTGATGACATTTAGCCCAGTAGGTATACTAGGTCAGACCACAGATCTCCCTACCTCAGCACGCCATCTCAAGAGTGGATGGTCAAGGGAGCACATAAGAACAAAGCCAGTACATAGTGATACCCCCCAGAATGCTGGGGCTTAAAGCCAGGTAGTGCCTTTGAATGTGGAAGCAGAAAATATAGATTAGACATGTGGAAGTAGAAAATATAGATTAGACAATCCAGCTCCTTCTAGATGAACATCTCTTTCTGCAAAAAAAACCTGAATGAATGCATACAAAGCATATAAATTCTGATATACAGTTTCACTTTTAACTATGTAAAAAACAGTCTATAATTGCAGTTTCTGTGCACTGAACTGTCTACTTGTACATGTTTTCAGTAACATTTATGATGTTGGCTTTAAAAATATGCTTTGTGATCACATTAAAGGTTTACAGTATTGTACAACTAAAAAATTGTTGAAGTGATCCAAAGAGCACTTACCAAATTTGGGTATCATGTATTACATAAAAATCACACCCTTCCTTGATCAAGCCTTAAAAAGCAAATCCTGCAGATCATGTTAAGCCATAATATTGACAGGAGAAGGCCCATTTCGTAACAGTAGAACTGAGCTTGGTTGGACACTGTTACTCATTTACAAGGCTCCAAAGGGTGTCACACATTCTCAGGGAGTACAGCAAGAGTCATCTGCAAATTTTAGATCTTTTAGATTTGCTTCTCTTAATGTATCGTATATTTAGAAGACCTCAGACCTACCACCACCACCAAGCAAACCTTGCTATGTAAGAGCCATTCTTCTTCTACCCTACCTATGAAGCTACAACACACTGAATCTACCTTATGAACAACACATTGGCTAATCTTTCCTTTGGACAGAAGAAAGAAAGGGTGAAGGGAGAGAGAAGTAGAAGAAATGGGGTAACATGTACTGACACATATATCAATAAACAACAGCTTGAACACTGGAACTAGGGAACCATAGAGCATGAGCTTTGGACAAGTCTGACTGACCTACAACACAAATCAGGGCTTTTTTTTTACTGCTTTCTGCATGACCTTTGGATGGGGGTGGGAGGAGTAAATAAAGACTATCAAGATATGTGTTTACTTGGGCAAGAGTTTAGGAATAGCAAACATCAACCACATACACTGTGCCTTTGAAAAAAATATACCTTAATTTTTGCCCGTTTCCCAAAGAGAGATGTAACTCTGAAGTAGAAAGTTTAAATACAAATGGAATGAGTTGCAATATTTTAATTTTCTATTTTGTCTAATGCATCCATTAGAGAATGCATTTACTTTATCTTTAGGGCTTTGCAGTTTTCCTGTTTATTTTAATAACAGTAGTTTCATGCCTAGAGCTCCATGTACTGAGATAAGGAGATCAAGGCACCTGCACCAAAACTCACTGTGCATCATGCGAATCATAAGTCTGTCTTGGCTGTTATCATATTTGCCATTCAGACATACACACTGGTAGCAACCCACCGTAATGTGAATATTTCAGCTGACTGTAGAGATAGAGATGCAGATTAAAACCATCTCTATTGTAGCCTGTTCCAAATTTTTCCATTGTTTAAATGAGCACAATGTTGCTGTCTTCTATTGATCAAAAAATAAATTTGGCATATGGAAGATTTAGCCAGAAAGGAAGGAAAAGGGGGGGGTCATGATGAAGAGGTGAGAAACACAGATATACAAACCTAGGGCCTTCTGTCTTCAACTAGAACAAGCAAAAAGGAACCAGTTACCAAGAGGAAAAGGTCTAATATGTACATGTAAGTTACAGGGAGTTGGTTGAGTAATTCAAGGCTAAAGATAAGCAACTAACTGCATCTCAGAGTATTTAAGCATCTTCTTCCCTATGGGGGAGGTGGAATACGATGCTTCTGTAAGGCCTCCGTGTTTCACTCAAAATACACTGTTTAATCCAAGACCATGGCCCATGGAATGACTCACGCAAGCAGCTCAAAATGCATAGATCAAGATCAGCAGCAAAGAAATGATGATTAGCAGCTGGGGAAAGCTAGGAGTGTAAGATCTTCCTTGGTATGTCTCCAGTCAGAAAGGGGCCTATTTCTAACTCACCTGTCGTGCCAGAGTACAAATGTAAAGTAGGTATTAAAGTAAGCTTGTTGGGAAAAAAAAAAAAAACCACAACAAAAATGAAAATGTTGCATAGTGCACAGTCCCAGACTTCTTTCAGTATTTCCTGTGTTAAAACATCAGAAGAAAAAGGTATTTCTTACAACAAAAGTCTTACTTCCTGGATGTGTGACTCAAACTTGACTAGCTAATATTTCTAGGTAGCAGTACTACCAGTAAGTACTGTGCTCCATATAACGACCCAAGTATCAAGTCTTTACAACACTCCATGTTTTATGTGATCCTTCAGGGTCTTGAAAACTAAATGTTGAGGTGATAGAAAGCAGAGGTCAGCAGGCCATCAATACAACCGTAGCCAGAAACACCATGGCAGACTCTACCAAAAGTAACCTGGGCTTTTAAGCTGCATTCATGAACTTTCTTCATGCTCCATTGTCAATACACAAGTTATAAGCAACCATTTGAAAAACTAACACAGAGTTAATGAAATTGAACTCCTTTGTACTTAAGGGAGGAACGCATATGAAATTTCTTGCACAAGAACTGCCCAGTTACAAACCTACTGTTCCTCTTGCAAGGCAGGGTACTGCACTTGCTTAGGTCTCATGCATTTACTCTGCTTCCCCCTGTGCTGTTGTCCCCTTCACTGGCCGGCTGATTTATTTTCCATTCTATAACTCAGTGTCTCCTTTCCCTGTACAATTAACTCCAGAAAGTGTTAACTCTCTCATTCTGCCATGTAGAATCTAATATTCCTCAAAACCCAAACATATAAAGTAAACAAAGGATATGTTATGGTAAAAGGTGTTATGGAAGAAAGGGGCAAAAGGGAAAGAGAAGCATTTCAGTTAAACTGGGACAATGAAGACTGGAGATTCAATTTTCTACAAAATGACCTTAATCAAACGCTTGGGATCTCATAGCGTAACTAAATTAGCAGTTCTCAGTAAAGCTCATAAGGATGACATATCTAAGACATTTCAGTAACTGACAAAATATGCCACTTCTGAAATATTTATTAAGCATTCGCACAACATCTGATATGGCTTTAATTTCAAAATTATTAAAAACACATATGCAATCATGTTATACAAAAAGCAGACCTACCCATAACTATAAGAAATAACAGCTTACTATGATTTCCAATGGAAAAGAAGAAAGTTTCCCATGGCTTGTTTTCTTTTAGGCAAGGAAGGAAAGTAACCTAATTCATCTAACCTAAAGAAACAACATTACCTTGGCTAAATACAAGCAAACACAACTTCTGCCAATGTTGTTGTCTTACCAATAAATATTTGTCACCTTCCACTTCCCTCCTAAATTAGTCACCATCTGCTTAATCTCAACTGAGATCTCCATATTTCACCTACTGTAAGGATAAATGTTGGGTATAAACACAGCTCTTGGGAGGCAAGGCAATCTCTGCTGCAGGATAACAGGAAAAATGTCTCGTCGTGGTAACAATCATTTGCTTTTCACCACTTATTGAGAGCAAAGCAGCAAAAAAGTTCAGATCATTTCCTGACTGGCACAGCAAGTTACAGCAAGATACACATTCTATTAATTTTTAATTGTATTGCTTGCAGACTGAAAGCCCAAAAGGGAAGCGTTCTGTTTTAAAGCATAAAGAAGGGCACTGAAACTGCTTACCTCACTCAGCTCTGCAGGGGAGTCATTTCCATATTTCATAGCAACTCCAGAATTCATGATTAGACTTCTCAGGGCTTGACGATTTCTGCAGATTTTAATGCTTCGAAGCTTTGTTCAACTGATTCAATACTTTCTTCTCCAAAATTTTTCCGCCTTACACATTTTGCTCTAGACAGCCATTTTTACTCCACATCATTGATAGTTTAAATTAATGATGCAAGATCTTCTGAAAGAGCCAAACTGGTTTTGACTTCACAGACAATCCATCGCTGCGAGAGACTTGTTAACACTGTGAACTGCTCAGAGAATGCAGGGAAGGAGCTGCGTGCCAGGATCCCAGGGCTGTCTTAGTCCATCTGCAAGGCGTGCTTCATCTCTGCTGTCTGTTTTATGCTGCTCTTTTCCACAACTCTGTTTAAGGGCATCTCCCAACGCTGCTTAATGCACTTAGAAAAAATTGATGAGCTTCACGCGAGTTCACAGAGAAATTAAAAGGAGGGTGCTGCTACAGTCTTCAGTGTTCGGGGAGGGAGAAGGGAAAAGAGAAGAAAGCTCCCTTCCCTGAGACAAACCAAGGCTGCACTTCACGCTAAAGTTTCCCCTGCCAGTGAGCCTGGAGTTTAAGTGGTTTATGATCAAACACAGCTGTCTTGCTGCTGGCTAAAGGGTGCATGGAAGGGGCGGTACTAAAAAGGAGAGTGCAAGTGGGAGGGGGAGAGCTACAGAGAGTTCATTTTGGAATTACAGGCATCTTTCCAGCTTTCTGCATACTAATTATCATACACAAAACTATAAAGCTAAGTAACAGGAAATGCCACCTGGATAACAATAAATTGGATGCCTATTTCCCTATTCCCATGTGCAGTTAAGTAAGGAAAACTAGGGGGCTTTAGAGGGTGGGGGCTTTAACGATTTTGAAAGGTCACAGTAAGCCCAAAAACACCACTAGAAAGCTGCAGATTTTACGTAACACACTGACATTTTACAAAGACTTTGGGGAGACGCTACTGGAAGAAGAGGAGAAAAAAACCATTTGCTTTCAACATTCAACTAATAATCTAGAAAAATCATTAACAATATTGCATTTGTAGACGTGCTGCACCCATTGCAAGAACCAACAACCTTTCCCCTTACCTCAATCCCCTAAAACATAGTGACAGCCCCACACACTTTGTGATGCTGGATTATGGTGTACTTTTGGAGTTAGAAGTAGGAAATACCATACTCTGCAGGGGAAATTTACCTGATCATCTTATTACAATGTATTATTAAAGTGTCAAATTAGTATTAAAAAAAAATAAAATCAATGAAAAACAGGAATAAATGCTATACAAGCTATGGCACAATTCTTGTATCCTGGCAGAAACATTTACATGAGAAACAATGCTCTCCAAGAGTGACATTTTGAAAATAATTTTTGTGGCTTTTTCTTCTCCTCTGTTAATCACAGATTAGTGTCAGTATGCAGACATAGGGATAATTCATTCAAATGACAATACAGAAAGCGCATTTAGAACAAGAACCAGGATAAACACATATATGATTCCCATGATATCACTCTACGATACTAAAAAAGAGTAGCACTTTCTGAGTCCCTGTCCTTCCTCTGAGCCCAGCATCAGGAACTGCAACTCTCCTCTGGCACAAGGGGGGTAAGGGATATGCCACAATCTCTTTGCAAGACTTTTATACTTTTATCTTTGAGGCCTATTTTCCAGCTGTTCCTTTCTTTTTTCTGTATTTTTGCTCGCCTCCCGTTTGCTTTCAAGTGGTCCATATTTTTAGGTTTCCCTTCCTCTTTTCACGCCCAGCTCGCATTGCCTCCATTCTTTGCTATTTTCCTCCTTGAAAGCATCCTCCCCCTCTCATCTTTACACTCGGTTCTGTCTCTACCTTTAGTGCTTCTCTGTGCGTTCCTCCTCACTCATCCGCTTTGTTCCCCCCCACATCTGTTTCCATTTACGGGCCCTGGAAGGCCGGCGGCGGGCTGCACCGCTCTCTGCTGGCGGACAGAATCACAGAATCACCGAATGCAGCAGCAAGAGGCACAGTGCCACGCTGGGAATGACCTCCCCACCCCTGGCACCCACCCTGCTACCCCTCCAGTGGGTAGGGAGCCAGGCAGATGCGGAGTCCTCCTCACTGCAGACTGCAGCACGGAACAGCGTTATCCACAGCGGTTTCGTACACTGGTTTCCCGTGCATTAAAACGTGATTAGCAGTGCTTTTTACACCCAGGAGCAAGGGTACTGTATAATGACTTGCCTCATTTCTCATACATGAGAAAAAAGGAACTTCAGGTCAAAAGTTCCCGCGGCTGACGCAGTACGTTTAAAAATCTTCTCTCTTTTCCAAGTTATGCCTTCACAAATGGGAGAGTGAAAAAGTTTTAGTATTTTGCATCACTACACCTATTGATTTCTATATTCCTTTTTATAATCGGGTCTGATCCGATCTTTGTCCAGTTCTGTCACGTGTATCGCAGGTTCACCAACACAGGGATGAGTCTCAGAATTACTTAAGAATACAATTCTCAGAATTACCTAAGAATAAAACCTAAAAAAGTTTTCCTTTTCTAAAGGAAAGACCATGCTAATTATGGCTTCAATGTACTGTATTTCCCATACTATATCCCTATACCACCAAATACTTCCCAGCTGCCTATAAACAGGCATTCAGAAATTACAAGTTCTGATTTGCTTTCCTCACTCCCCATTGCTGCCCATGCCTGGCAGATTAGCCATCAGACAGCCCAGAGCACATGGCACTACAGATGCATCCTAAGCATGACAGTGCAGGACACTTGAGGATCTGAACTAGATCCACTCCACACCGTACCCATCCAGTGCATGGGATTTTTTTCTGCCTCTTTCCTGCTCCATACAGTGACATGGTGGAGAGAGGCAGAGATACTGACTGAAAAAATGACAGCAGAATTCACAGTTTCAGAAATGCACGAGAACATGGGAGATACAGGCAGATACTTTCAGAACGGTTTATATTTATATTTAAGATTTAAAACTAAAAAATTACTTGTAACTCATGTGCAAATTAATGACACAGTTAAACCAAACTCTGATGAAAAATGATTTTACTTTAATCCCAGCTGACTCCCATTGCAATGTCTGCATGCTTGAACTGAGTGGTACAGGATTACACATTTCTCAGCTGGAAAGCATCAACTGTTACTTTTAACTGACCTATAAGTACTGGCACTGCTTGTTTCAATGTCCTTATAAATTTTGCAGTCATTTCTTTATTGTGGAGGACTACCTAAGATGAAATGTAATCATTCTTCTAAAATAGTTACTGTTATATCACATTTTTTAAATACTCAGTCATATTGAGAACGTATTCTGACTACCTGAATATGTAGAACTTGTTCCTCTCTGAAATGTCGTATCATCTAGCATGTCCCCGAGTCCATTTACTAACTGAATGAAAACATTACATTACAAAATTAAATCCCCAGATAGACCTGGCCAGTTGTCTCCAGCAGTTTCCCCATTTTCAAATACATGTAAGTGATCTAATACAATAGCAGGGTACTAAGAAGCCTGTTGAAGCTGAAATATATTTTCCCATTGGCTTGTGCCAAAGTCAGGCTTCAAAGAAAACAAAGAAAAATGTCAAGTATGCCAATTTTGCATTACCAGGAAAAGAACAGAGTACTCTGTTATCCAGCAAGAGAGGTGCCTGTTGGATGATTTGATGACTGAATGTTCATTGTCTCCCCTGACTCAGTCCCTTGCCTAGGATAACGATGCTCCCTTGCCCTCAATCTGTCTTCTTTTTTAGCCCCTCCAGTCAGGGAGGGGGTTGGGATGGGAATGGGAAGAGGAACCTCTTAACCTACAGATGCACATTTCTTAGCCCAAGAGGACATGGTCTCAGTGGATGCCTCAGTGTTTGCTGTGATACAAACAAGAAGGGGGAAACAAGAAGCTGGACGAGCCTGAGTGTCACTGAGGCTTTCAGTAACAACATCCACCAAACGTCTTCTGTCAAGACAGAGACACTGGCCTGGGCTTCCACTCAGTCTCAGCGCATTCTGATCAATTACTGCTTTCTGTACCTTCAAAGCACTCATGATGCATACTGCTTGTAGGTAAGTGCATTTGCACTGACAGATTCTTCCCAAGATAATTTCAGAATTATCCAGTAACAACCATTACTGTGGCCAGTTTGCTGATTCTTGATCTAATAATCCTATGACCACTCTATTCCATTTGTTTACCCTTATTAAGCTGTAGAAAAAGAACCATTGACATGTATCCAAGATCCACTGAGGAGTCCACCTTTTGATTGTATCTGAATAATCATTTAATAAGATTTATTCTATCACCTAGTGTAAAAGGATTCTTTTGGAACAAGATACGACTCTCTTGCCCTTCTTAACTTTACTTTTGAAACTGCCACAGAATATGGAAAAAAATATCACTGTAGTTATTTTACAACGCTTCTCTCTCATAGTACGTCTCAGTAATTAAAATACTCTATTTCTTAACAGTTATTGGAGCAAGTGGGACAATTGCCACATGTGAATGTTCCTCCCTTGTTTTGATAGCTACAGAGTGAAAACTACAGCATAAAAGCAATGATCTATTAAATACGTATGTATCACATATTCTTCAGCACAGCATGTACTGCTTTCGGAGATGCAATTTCACTCTGCATACACCATGCACGATTAGCTGATCACAATTCCAGATGCACGAAATAAAGCCTTTGTGGCTGGTTCTGTTTAATTAGCTCTGTAATTGGAATGCAACCAATTGAAATCAACTGAGCATTTAGTTTGTGTTTGTGTATTTCAATACCATCTCTACAGTTAGAGCAGCACCCAGCAAAATCCCACAAACAAATAATTTACACCTTCAAATGCTGCAACTTTACTACACACAATTTGAGTACAACATGTTTTTGTTCTCACTCTGGTACAAAATACACAGGTGAAGTGCCAAAGTCTAAATTTCCAGGGACAAAATAGTAGCAGTCAGAAGGTTAGCATGAATGCTAAACTTGGAAGCAGAAATTCAATACAGTAGCTGGATAATGTTTCCAGAAAATTCTTTATTCAATAGCACTAATGCACTATGATTTAAAAGGGAAAGGCTGAAAGGCATGGTACTTCTTGATGGAAGCTGTTCTCATTAATGTTAGTGAAGGTTATGCACCTAGCTTGAGAGAAAAAAATCCAACTCATTTGAAACAATTGGAAGAAACCTTATATGAACGAAGCACTCTCTATGAAGAAAACACAAGCGAACTTCTCTTCTTTCCTTCAATTGCACCATCTTGATTAGTCTAAAGCAGATAACACGTCTAGAATAATGTAATTTCCAAATAGCACTTTAATCAGCTACTCTCACCTGTTCACCCTTCCTCAAACACTTAATCCACTTAAAAAGTCACGTCCTTGACCTGACTGGTCTCCTTGGGAGTTCACATTTGATCCTTTTTTCCATTCTCTAGTATTTCACACCATGAAGCCACTCACCAACCTGTCAAACAGCCACTCTCATTTTCTCTCATCTCATCCAAAACCATCGCATTCATTTTCATTCCCTCTGACCCCACAGAACCTTAGCATCAGGTCAGGACAGGAAAAGG